TTTTTGTTTGCTTATTGTGGGGATATATTTTCTGAGTACCAACACGTGGCAAGGTGACGCTGACGTGTCAGTCGAGGTGCCACGTGTCCTGGTCGTGACGCCGAGGTGATCTCGGCAAGACTGTTGTTATCTCTGAAGATATCGGAATCCGAAATAAGTGGATAAGGGACAAGAGTCCTAGAATGAAAAGGGAACTCAACCTGGATGAGGGACAAGAGTCCTAGAATGAGAGAAGACTTCAGTTTGTATTAAGATAAGACTCTTAGAGAGTTTATCCTAATCTTATTGGGAGTCTAAGATTAGCAACAATCCCGAGTCCATAGAAGTTAGGCTTCTATTAGGACTAGGTTTATGTTAGCTATAAAAGAGAGGCACCTCCATGGGTCTACGGTATGCTTTTTTGGCTCAAGCTTGTGAGTTGAATAATTGATTATCTTTGAGAGATATACTGATTTGATCGTTGGAGTGCCCTCGGGTGGACGAACCACCGCGGGATTCTTATATTTCTGTTGTAGGTCAGTCAGGTGCCATCTATTCTGCCAGTACTCTCTAGCTGAATTACTGAGTTGGCAGTTGGTCGGAAAATTTCCCATACACTTATATAGTAATTTATGGTGAAGAATGTTTTACTAGAAGTAGAATGTGTTCTTGTGAACTTTCGTTTGATAGAAAACTACTGCTACCTATGAGTGTTAACTCGAATGGTAAGTTGTTTAGGTTTAATTCAAAATGTCTTAGGTTTGAGCTTTAATATCCTATTTTGTTTGATATGTGAAGTTAGTGGATGGTTTCTCACTTCAAATACTTCAAAAGATTGAAACTTAGAAGCTCAACTCCCTTATGACATGATTTACATACACTCAACCAGATCCAACTCGCTTGCTATATATGCTCATGTTTGGAAAAGAAAAGAAAAAAATAAAAAGATAAAGGGTTAATTACATTTTTGGTCTTCGGAATATGAGTTTCATGTTATTTTAATTCCTAATGGTCAAATTGTATCAATTTACTCTCAATGTATAAAGTGTTTTAATTTGAACTTTAGTAGTCAAATTGTGTCGATTTGGTTCCCAATATATAAAAAGTATTTCAATTTAGTTTTCCAATCTAACTTGTTAATAGATGCATAGGGGGCTAAATTAAAACACTTGTATATATTAGAGGCTAAATTGACACAATTTAAATATTAAAAATGAAATTAAAATGCTTTTATGTATTGAAAATAAATAAAAAAAATAACGCAAGACCATATTTTAAGATTAAAAATGTAATTTATCCAAAAATAAAAGAAAGAGAAGTAAAAGGAGTGTTGATACTTTTCCAACTTGATGGGTCCTCAAGTCTCTCCAGAAGTCAACAACACCGGAGGTGTTTGTTTCAGCTTTTCAGAGCCAATTTATAGCTTTTAGCTTTGAAAAAATTATTTTGAACTGTTTGGTTAAACTTATTTCAAACAGCTTCTGATTTTAACAACTTATTTTAACTCAAAAAAGCTGATTCTGAGAAGCTGCTCACCCCTTGCTTCTGATTATCAGCTTCTGCTATGGACATGTTAATTTATAATTATACTCTTAAATTTTTTTATTTTTTATTTTTTTAAAAATAGAAAAAGACTCAAATGGACTATAGATTGTTATTATTATTTTTTATAAGAAATGTAGACAAACAAAAAATAAAATTAATTGAAAAAGCTATTTCACAGCTTATTTAACAAACACTACTTAGCAACTTAAATCTATAATCCAACAGCTACACCAAACAGATCCATGTGACATGGAGAGAAGCTAAGCTTTTGGCCCATTTGTGAGGGAGTATATAAACTCCATTTGTTGGGTGCCGTGCCTCTATTTACACACCACCACATTTGGTCTTAAGGTACACCACTACTCAGTTCACACATTTAATAATTTAAAAAACATAATTTTTCTCAACACACACCACAACATTCCATTTTTTCCCTTAGTCCCACGCCAATTAGTACACACCTCAATTTCCCAAAAAAAAAAAAAAAAACCCTATAAATAAGCAATCGTAATTGCAGTGTTTCCCATTTCATTTTTTTGAAACTTATTTGTTTGGTTTGAAAATTTTAAAACTAGTTTTTGAGTTTTTAATTTATATATTTTTGTTCTTAATATTTTTTTTAATTTTTAAATTCATTTAATCTAGATATAACTAAAAAATACAAAATTTGTGTAAAATTTTGCAAAAATTCATTGAATACAAAAAAAAATATATATAAATTCAATATGTTTTTCACATTTTCTTATATTCAATCAATTATTTTTTTAATTTTTTGTACAAATTTTATAACTTTTATGTGTATCTAGATTAAGAGAATTTAAAAAGTAAAAAAAAAAAATCACTAAAAAAAATATGAATTGAAAATATAGAAAATTGTTTTTGAAACTCCAAACCAAATAAAGTGATTTATTTTTTGAAAAACAGAAATGCTAACAAGTGCCCCTATGCATTGTTTAATGTTGGTATTAGTGCAAAAATTGAAAATGGTGAAAAAATTAATAAAATGTTTAAAAATGAGTGAAAAGTATTTTGGGTTCAACATTTTTTGGTCTTTTTTTTATTTATATTTTTTTTATGCCCCTGAAGCATTTGTTAACAAGACTCTTTAAAAAATTAAACAAAAATAAACCACTAAATTTTTTAAAAGATATACAAAAATTTATAACATAAAAAGTAACAACGATAATTGAGATCCCAAATTTGACTACCCCGTGACCTCCAAAATTATCTGGATCATTCATGTGAGAGAGATAGAAAAAAAAAAACAACACATGAATGATTCAGATCATTTAGAGGTCATGAGATCCTTAAAATTAGGGGTCTGACTCATTTTCTAAAAACGCAATTACCAAACCCAATTTAAAAGCTTGCTTGTGGAGTTTCCTGGCACAGGGAAGGGAAAAGAGAAAGAAGATGACACAATTTTGATGTCCACTGCCCAATTACCAGACCAATCAGTAAGGTAAGCTATGGAGATCAATTTCTTCACAACTACCATCTACCAAAAAATCATTATGTTATGTTTGGAAAGGGAAATAAACATTAAAAAAATAAAATAAAGAAAATGGTGTGACAGACATGTAAATGAAATCTTTATACTGTACAAGTCAACAACCAATGGTAGTGTGCTTCCCATTTGATTTTTTTGAAACTGTTTGAGGGTCTGCATTTCTTTTCATTACATTTCAAAAAGTTGTGAGTGAAAATTGATTCAACTCTTTTCTCATCTGGTTTTGATTTCAATTCCAATTCTCAAAAAAGATAAGAGTATGGCTGATCTACTCATTTCTCCCCTTGTTAGTTCAATTTTGAAAACCTTGAACTCTTTAGTACTAAAAGAGTTTGGGATAGCATGGGGTTTGAAAACAGAGCTAGAGAACTTAGAGAGCACATTAAGTACCATTCAAGCAGTCCTTCAAGATTCAGAGACAAAGCGAGGAAAGAGCAAGGCTCTGAAGAATTGGCTTAGAAAGCTCAATGATGCAGCTTATGATGCAGACAATCTGGTGGATGAGTTCATGACTGAAGCCTCTGAGAAGAAGGATGGATTCTGAGAGAGGCATAAAACCCCAAGTGCCTTTTTCTCTCTTCGAAACCGGCTTATATTTCGATTGAAAATGGGGCATAAGATCAAGGATATAAGGGATAGGTTAGATGCCATTGCTGGGGAGAAAAATAAGTTTCACTTGAGGGAAGGTGTGGTGGAAACCGAAGAAGTTTGTAGGGTGGAGAGAGGACAAACTGATTCAATGGTGAATGAATCAGAAATTTATGGGAGAACTAATGAGAAAGAAATGATAATTGAAATGTTGCTCAACAATTCAAGTGATCGTGATGATGATGTTTCGGTCTATGCTATGTGTGGTATGGGGGGATTTGGGAAAACCACACTTGCTCAATTAGTCTACAATGATGGAAGGGTGGAGAGCTACTTTGAGCTGAGAATTTGGGTGTGTGTCTCTGTTGATTTCGATGTAGAGAGACTAACCAGAGAAATCCTAGAGTCCATAGAAGGTGGTGAGTGTAGTATCTCAAACCTGGATACACTTCTACGTTGCCTCCAAGAAAAACTGTTTGGGAAGAAATTTTTACTTGTCTTGGACGATGTATGGAATGAGTACCATGAGAAGTGGGATAGGCTAAAAAATGCACTGAAGCGTGGAGCTAAAGGCTGTACTGTTATAGTAACAACAAGGATTCAGAAAGTTGCTCTTATCATGGCTACACTTCCTATACACCACATGGCTCGTCTGTCGGAGGATGATTCTTGGTCCTTGTTTAAACGACGTGCATTTGGCAACAAAAGAAAAGAGGAAAACCTTCAATTGGACCTCATTGCGAAGGAAATAGTGAAAAAATGCAAAGGGTTACCCTTAGCAATAAAGGCTTTGGAAGCCTCATGCAATTTAAAAGAAGTGAAAGTGAATGGTTGTCTGTGAAGGACAGTGAGATTTGGGATTTGCCTGATGATGGAAGTAATATTTTACCTGCTTTGAGGTTGAGCTATGAAGCCTTACCTCCACATTTGAGGCAATGTTTTGCTTATTGTTGTATATTTCCCAAAGACTATAGAATGGAGAACAACCTGCTGATAGAGTTGTGGATGGCAAATGATTTTATTCCATCTAAAGGACAAATGAGGTTACATGATGTGGGCCATGACATTTTCAGGGACTTGGTTTCGAGGTCATTCTTCCAAGATGTAAAAGAGTCCAATAGTGGAACAATATTTTGTAAAATGCACGATCTTATGCATGATCTTGCACAATCTATTATGAGATATGAATGCTCTATTATGGAGCCTCACGAGGGCATGAAAATTCGAGATGAAATTCGTCACTTGTCTTTTAATATCGTTGATTTTGGAGAGATGATTCCTTGGAATGAGATTGTATTTGAAGTCCCATCTTTGCGGTCTGTCTTAATATTTGAGTCTTTCATTCCAAATTCCAAGGAAATGGAGAACAACCTGCTGATAGAGTTGTGGATGGCAAATGATTTTATTCCATCTAAAGGACAAATGAGGTTACATGATATGGGCCATGACATTTTCAGGGACTTGGTTTCGAGGTCATTCTTCCAAGATGTAAAAGAGTCCAATAGTGGAACAATATTTTGTAAAATGCACGATCTTATGCATGATCTTGCACAATCTATTATGAGATGTGAATGCTCTATTATGGAGCCTCACAAGGGCATGAAAATTCGAGATAAAATTCGTCACTTGTCTTTTAATATTGTTGATTTTGGAGAGATGATTCCTTGGAATGAGATTGTATTTGAAGTCCCATCTTTGCGGTCTGTCTTAATATTTGAGTCTTTCATTCCAAATTCCAAGGATAATATTGCTTCACCTTGCATTTCAAAAGAAAAGTATCTTAGAGTGTTGGATCTTGGTAGACATGTTGATGAGAAGTTGTCAATGTCAATTTCCAATTTCAGCCATCTTAGGTACCTGAACATGTCGTTCTCTAAAATAGAAATTCTACCAGAATCAATAAGTAATCTCCAAAGTCTACAAACATTGAAGCTAGAACATTGCCGAGAACTTTGTAAGTTGCCCAAACGCATTAAGCACATGAGAAATCTCACTTACTTGGACATCACAAGGTGTGATTCTCTTACTTCCATGCCGGACCAAATGGGACAATTAACTTGCCTACAAAGACTAAGCATGTTCATTGTGGGCCAAGATGAGGGTTACCAAATTGGTGAGCTGAAAGAATTAAATCTTGGGGGTACGTTGAGCATAAAGAGACTTGAGAACATAAGAAATTCAGAAGACGCCAAGAAGGCCAATTTGAAGGGGAAACATGATCTTATTTCTTTGGAATTATATTGGAGCGAGAGCAATGAAGAAAACATACCAAAGAATGTCGAAGAGGTTCTTGAGAGTCTCCAACCTAATTCGAATCTGAAGAAGTTGAGCATAAATTTCTTCCAAGGTGCAAAGTTTCCCAACTGGATGTGGGGTTTGGTTCTTAAAAATCTGGTTGAGATCTCTTTAATAGATTGTGAAAGATGTGAACATCTTCCTCCTCTTGGCAAACTACAATCCCTAAAAATTCTCAATATCAGTTGCATGGGTTCTCTTAAGTACTTCGACCATGGGGATTATGGAGATGGGGAAAGTTCATTTCCTACATTGAAGACTCTCGAGTTCTATGATATGCCAAGCTTGGAGGAATGGGCAACAGTGGATAGAGGAGAAATTTTCCCTTGCCTAGAGGAGTTGGTGATATCTTTATGCCCCAAATTGACTAAATTGCCTTTTCTTACAGCACTTAAGATTTTGAGAATTGAGGTACGCAATAAAATGATATTCAGGTCAGCGATTAATCTTACTAGGATTACCAATTTTAGGATAAATGTCTAATTTGAAGATTCTTCCAGATGGACTGCTTCAAAATCTTAAGGCCTTGGAGATCTTAGAGTTATGGTCCATGTACAAGCTGAAGACCCTGTCAAATCAACTGGAACCTAAACTCTCTCCAGAAACTGTTTATACGCGATTGTAAAAGTCTTACGTCCCTTCCAGTGCAAGGGTTGCAAGGCTTGACTTCCCTTACATCCTTTCAAATTTTCCGCTGTGATAAACTAATATCTTTGTCGGATGGAATGCGATATCTGACAGGACTTCGGTTCTTGAGAATCAATAGATGTCCAGAGATACAATCTTTTCCAGAGGGTATGCAACATTTGAATGCTCTGCAAGATTTGTGTATAGACAAATGCAGCGGATTATTTTTTCTACCAAATTGGCTAGGAGGCCTCCGATCATTATCATCCTTAGTGATTTGGAGTTGCCCTAATCTGAGGTGTTTGCCGGATGGGCTGCAGGATCAGAATACTCTGAAACGGCTGTCAATTGGAGAATGTCCACATTTGGAGCGCCAGTGCAAGAAACAGACTGGGGAGGATTGACTGAAGATAGCTCATGTTCCTCTGATTGAGATCAATTTTGAAGAAGTACAATCCTTGGATTGTTAATGCACTATTTTGAAGCTGAGATTCGCATCCAACAGCGTTTGCAGAAAGCTGATTTGAGGAAGTGTGACAACATAGTCCCAAGTTAATGCAGATTTGAAGACTCGAGTTTTTGATGGAGCGTGCTTGAAGAATTTTGTGGCTGGCCTCAATGGGTTTGCACACTTGTTGAATAATACATCATAGTTTTCAAGGTTCGTTTTCTTTTTCTTGAATAACATCATAGTCAGAATTGAATTTAATTAAGTTGTGAAATTAGAAAATCACTAAATTTTGATTTTTTTCATTTATCTCTTGTATAGGTTGAAGAAATTCGAAATTGTATTTCATCACAGAGTGGCATGGGTACGAACGCTCTCATTTCTCTAATCGCGCTGAAAAGCTTTTGTGTTATTAGATCATAGATGGCTGTGAAGAATTGCAATAATTGATTGTTTAGTTTTCTTTGATTTTATATTTCCAAGCACAGGATGGTGTTTTAGATGGTAGATATTGTGGATTGATTTGTTCCCGGTTGCTTCTAGTTTCATCGTTCTTCTTTGAGGGATATGATTTCCATTTATTTGCTCATTTTTATCGGTTTAGAGCCTTTTAAATGGATATTATTTATTTTTATTTAATTTTTTATCTAAATTTCTTTGGGTTCACCATTGTATGTTTGGTTTGTTTAATCTTAAGTTTGTTTCATGTCTTTGTGCTTCAAAAGATTGTACCCAAGAATAGCGCATCAACAGGTTGGTACTTAGAGCATCTCTAACTTTTTACCTCCTTTTTTTTTTTCATCAAATTTGTTCAATATTTTAGATCAAAAGTTTAATTTGATGAAAAGTTAATTGGAAAATAACATTTGTAATTTGCATGGGCACAAATGATGTAGTGAGAGTAAAAATGTATAAAGACATCGTGAGAGTGAAAATATATAAAGATTTGATTAGTTATGTTTAAGAGTGATTATTCAGTATCTTTGGAGTATGGATACGTGATACTCCATAAGGTTTTAATTGGTAGAGAGGGATAGGGACCCACGATTTATGTTAGGGATGGGGAAACAACATGAGGCTAAGTAATTAGTGATTGGTTTGAGTATGGCTACGTGGTGTTTCGAAATTATTGAATAATTTCCCTATGTTTAAGCAGTTGGAAGGTTATCCAAACACAAATTAGAATAGAAGCTGTGGAATTTGCCTAATAATACTATTTTTTAAGTGAAGAAGTGAATGAGATTAGACTATCATTTGTTCTTCATACCTAGATAGTGTAGGATTTGCATAGGTGGTGGAATGAGATAAGATGGTTGCTGCTAGTGGTGCCTGGTGAGTTGGGTATGCTAGCTAAAATGCTACATGGCCTCTGTTCTGTGTTGATACAGGTTGTATCTTGCATGGCTATAATGGAAGAAAATAAGAGGGGTAAAAGCGTGAACAAACAGAGAGCAAAATGGCAAACATAAACAAAGAATGAATTTGAAGCAGTAACTAAGAGGACATATGAGAGCCCATGAAAACCGCTTAAATCAAATCAAAAACATCAACAATCTAACAAAGCAACGAGAAATTAATCAATATATATTATACTTTCATCTATTGTTCCATTATCTTCACTCAATTTTCTCAACAACCAAAAATGATTAGATAAGTAGGGTTCCATTTACACTTATCAACTAACCATTGGCACATTGACAATTAGAGTGTCTTCCTTGCAAAGCCTCATCTTCACTAATCCGTTGTTTTGAGAAGTTGGTTAAAAGTTGACTTTTCGCTTTTTTTGAAAAAAAGTATAAAAAAGTAGAGAGATGATGTGATCCAAAATAGGTTAAAAGTTGGCTTTGGCTTTTAGCCATCTCCCAAAAGAGTTAGCTTCACCTTTGTAATCAATTCTATATATGTCACTAAATCCATTCCTGAACTGCGCACCAAAGTCTGAAGAAAATGCAAAATCAAAGCAAAAACACAACAAAATCTGAAGGAAATGCAAATCAAATGAAGAACATAAGGGTGGAAATTGTGACCAAGGAGATTCCAAATGGAAAAAAATACCAAATCAGAGCAAAATGCATAGCAAGAGAGAGATGCTTGAGAGTGAGACATTCAAATGACGAGAAGGTGAGAAGAGATCAAATACCCAATTTTTAAAAACATGCCATAAATATTAACAAATCACTTCTATATTCATAAATTACTAATACAGTATTGCCATGGGAAACACTGCAATTCTACAAACAACCAAAAATCAAATTCACAAGAAAAAACACCTCAACAAATATTATCCACCATACGAACATGTAAAACTTTGAATGAGAATATGCTACAAGCACTTCATCTTCTGATGCTTGTGGAAAATCATTGTTCAGTTGGCTGCAAGGTTGGCTGTAATACCTTTGCCGGATAAGTATAATATCATATATATGTTGGCATTGCAGGTTAGAAAATTACAAGCTTCTTGATAATAAGGCTCCAATGAAAGAACAAATCAATCAATAAATAAAAATAATTCTTTGCAAAGTTCAAATTAAAGAACATTGGCTCTTTTTGGGTTGGTTTGGGAAGTGGGTTGGCTTTTTGGCTTTTTAAGCCTAGGGCTAAAAAGCCTCATTTGGGAAGGGCTTTTTGAATTTTTTGACTTTTTGTAAGAGAAAGAATGTAATGATTATGGGTTTGATGTAATGTTTTGTCTTATTGGGCTAAAAAGTCTATTTTGTTTTTTTGTGACTAAAATAGCCTCAAACCCAACCCAATCACTCTTGTTGTCCATGTTTTTTGAGCAACATTGTAATAAAGCACAAATCTTTTTGGATGTTTGGAACTTTTACAGAGCAGAGTTTCTACTATTTTTTGGCATACAACTCCACAACTATTGACCCATGATATTTCATTGCCCTTTCATTTTATCAGAAATATATCCATATATCAACAGGAAACAACCATAAACCAGCAAGTAGCAACAGGAACAACCAATTGGCTGAATTGGAAATAAAGAAAAGCAAAAAAGCATTGGAAAAAAAGGAATGTGAAAAAAAAAAAATTGGGGGGGGAAATGCTACAATGTGCACTTGTACATTGTAAGAAAAGTTAACGATTTTTATGGTTAAAGTTCAAATATTTGTGAAAGAATAATAAGACATGAAAAGTAACAACCCCACCAAACCCTCAATGAAATTGGGAACTTTGGTTGACTTGAATTAGAGAAATGGGTATGCAAAAAAACAGAGATTGCTAACTGTAGAAATTTAATGTATAAAGAGAAATAGAGAATTGTATTATTGATTGATTTATATTGATATCTATTACAATGATTCATGATTCCTATATATAGAAGAGGGTGAGTGTGTAGTAGGTAAGGAGTAGGTGAAGTGGAGGTGGTAGTGGTGTAGTGGGTTAGGTTTAGTGGAGTAGGTTTAAGTGGGTGAAGTAGGTGGAGAGTAGGTGGATTTTAACACTAACCAAGCAAGGGTTCTGAGTACTAAATCCAAAAGGGTTACAATCTTTTCATCAGACCAACCATTTGTATACCAATCAAAACAGTTCAACAAACTAAGAACCAGGTTAAAAAGTGAAAGACCCAGACAACACAATAGAGTTTGTTTGTAGTAAAATATTCTAGTTTTTCTAGTACTCTGTTTTGAGAACAAATAACAAAAGCAAAGGAATACAAAAACAAACCAGGAATACAAAAATGAATCAGCAGCAAAGAACAAATAACAAAAATGAAGGAATACAAAAATAAATTATGGCAAATAAATTATAAGAGATTTCATTTCTGGTTTACTGGTTATGTTAATAACAGCAAGAAAAATAAATTATATAGTGAACCAAGAGTAAATTTTCAAATAAAAATATAAAAAATAAAAACTATCAACAAACAATCATTTTTAATGTCCCCCAATTCAAAATTCTAGTTATCCAAACCACCGTCATCTCACAAGCAAACTAAAACTCCAAGTCAGTCAGAGATTTGGAACTATTTCATTAGCTTATTTGAATTAAAATATTCTGTTGAGAGAAATAAGAATTCATCAATTGGACAGTTGAAGTTTAATTGATTAAGATATTCAACATGCAGCATGATAAAGTGCAAATAATAGAATCCAGGAAAACATAAATTCGCTTTAGATATTGACCGTAGGTGTTCATGAACATTAGATTTAGAGACCAATCTAGATACTCTGATTGGCCTACAAATTGGTTGTTTGTTAGTATACATGCATCATAGGTTGGTAGTTAGAATTTACTGACCTCATGTTTGTATGGTCATTTACATTACAATATTTGTGAAAGTACCTCCACGTGTGTTGACACATGCACACAAACTCGCAAATTAGTCACCTTTGAAGTTTGTTGTGGTATTGGCATTTGTCTAGTTATATTATTTTTAGCTTCTCAACTTACTTTCAGTTCTAATTAAAATCCTTCTCTTAATCTGGGGACAAGCCTAAGCAACCAATTGAAGGCCGTCTTCTTGATGCTATAAAGGGTTAGTGTTGTTAACTATGTCCTAGTCACATTATATATATTTATTTTTTAAAGAAAAAAAAAACAAATGAATTTAATTATAAACACCAAATTGTAAAACCGACTTAATTTCTATTCCCCTGATCTTAAAACCCACAGAATTTTCAGAATACACCATCTACTAAATGTAATCAAACATTGATTTCTGGAAAATTAAGCAGATTATCGGTTTAGCCTAAAGTCAATGGAGCAATCCAACATTGCAATATATCTGTTGCGTTCGTGGTCCAAGACAAGACGTGAGCATGTTCCAATTTCGTTTTACAAAATAGGAACAAAGTTACAACCACTTGGTGGATAATAATCAAACACTTGGTGAGCATGTTCCAATTGTTTCTGATGAATTTCTCACTTGAACATAGAATCAAACACTTGGTGGGCAGAAATATTAACAAATGTAAAAAAAGAACTTCATCCCAAAACACAAATTCATGAACAGTTTAATTTCAACAAGAAGAAATTAAATTCAATATAGGCACTAACCAAGCTCATAAACAGATATCTAAAAAAAAAAAAAATTTCAATGAAGCAAACATATGACAATGGAAGAAAGAATTGGATTTCACAGCAACTGACAAATGGAAATTGAAGAATGTCATACCTTTTCTGTTTCAAGGAGGGTGAATTGGCCATTTCAACTGGGTTAGACACACTGGTGTTAGACACAGATTTTCGTGCTTTTATAGATAGTTATAGATAATGCACAACAAAAATTCTAAACGCGCATAAGCTAGGTCCCGTTTGGTAGAATTGTCATTTTCAAGTTTTCTGTTTGCAAAAAAAACGTAACAAAACTTGTTTGGTATAAAAATAAATAAAATATGTTTGATGAGTTGCAGAAGATAGTGGTTAACAGGGGAGGGTAGATAGATGTAGGCCCAAGTGTCCTGAAGTGACTAGAGCTCGATGACAATTGGCCGGTGGTGGTGGATAAGGGAGGAGAGAGTAAAACTTGTTTCGAAAACAATTAAAAATTTCTTTATTTTTAATAAAAAAAATTCAAAAATTTAGAATCAATTTCACTATCTTAAAAGAAAAAAGATAAATTATAAATATAACCTTTTAAGTTTATTTAAAATACAAATTATTTCTTGTGGTTTTAACAATTACATCACACCCTTTGAAGTTTTTAATTTCATAATAAATGTTCCATTTTTCAAATAAATCATCAGGTTAATTAATTATTTTTAATGATGTCAAAAATTTATTTCAATTAATAATTTAAAAATTTTATTATTATATAAGAGAATAGTTAATAATTTTATTTTATTAATTAATTCTGTTAAACAAAAAAATCTGATAAAAAAAATTAATATTTTAATCAAATGTGTAATTCGCCCAAAACAAAAATAACATAAGAAAATCTATTTCGGGGACTGTCAGTCAAGAGGATGTTAGTAATATCTCCGTCATTCCTATCTCATCTGAGGGGTAAAGAGGATACTTTGATATGAGTCCGGATCCTCTCCAGCTTGCCTCTCCAGCCTTTCCTCCAGGTGACGGCCCAGATTGGGCCACGTCACCCCTAAAGAAATCTGCGGCTCAGATTAATTAAAAAACAAATCAAAATTCAGAAAGAAAAACAGAGGCCAAAACGTGAAAGAGACAGCAAACAAAAAACAGAGCGAGGGAGAGAGAAGGGGAGGAAACGCTCCATTCTTCACCGGCGACCATCGTTATCCAATTTATTATTATTATTTATTATTCAAGTATCTGTATTGAAGTTTTGTTGGCATTTATTTTTTTTAAAAAAATAGAATTTTTGGTGTTTTGATTGGGAGTTCATTCTACTTTTCCTTTCAATTTTTATTTTTAGTGTTGCTCCAGACTCAAATCCTTCCATCTACTCTTACACCAGTTGTACCTGGTGGTAAGGTTAGTGCCTTGTTTGCCACCAATTTTTTTTAGGCAAATGTAAGCACATGTTTATTGAGCTGGTATATTGGTTTTCAATACCACGGGGTTTTTGCATCATAGTTGATATTTGGAAGAACCGAAGTGACCACACCATGGAATTCTTAGGTTCAACTTTTGAAATTGTGAAGAATTTAGGGGAAAACAACTGGAAAATGGTTTGGGTATATCAGTAGGGCTTGATGCAAACACGAAAAATCTTAAATACCGAACTGAGCAGTGTAGGAGAGGGTTCAAGAAAGGAGTTGGAAAATTCGAAGATCGAATTCTCTAGAATATGATGAGAGGCTTAGACTCTTCGATAATCTCAACTTAGGAACACAACAACAAAGGAGATGATGGAGATAAGAGATTGGGTGAAGAAGAAGGCAAAATGGCTAAAGAATAGAATAATGGCAAGGCTCTCCCATGGATCTCCCACTTTCACTCTCAAGGTTGATAATGGAGAAGGGAAATTAGTTCTTTCCCAAGAGTTGAAAAAAATCTCCAAAATTCATCCCTTGTAAAGCTATGGGTGGGTGCTATTTATAGGCACCTCATGATGTAGGATGGAGCCCATGTGCAAGGCACATGGGGGATATTCTCTCTAACCACCTTGTCCGAGGAGGTGACCTCTCCGAGGAGGTGACTTCTCCGAGGATGAGAAAACCCCGAAGAAGAGATCAATCCCTCGGCGAACCCTTCTTCTTAGCCACACCTAACCAATGATCCCCAATCATCCCAAAGGGTCAGGGGTAGTCCCAGAGGACGTCCTGCCACAAAATACTGCCGAGTCTCATGGACCCCCCGGGATCGTGCCACCTCGACCCGGGTATAGGCTAGTTTAACCGAAGAGTGAATTTATCTCCACTCACCGTCCTCGGGATCGGGTCCTTTGTTCGAACTCCATTACGCCCATGGTTCTGGTGCGTAGATCCCGGAAAGCTCCGAGCCCACAAGTGTTCTGGGACTCATTAACGGAGCGACTTCTAGATTGCGTCTGAATCCGTTCGAAGCCAAGTGTTTTAGGACCTTAGGTTCGTGGATCCGAACCCTTTCGAGTCCGAGTGCTCGGATCTCTAGGCTTGCTTAATACCCTTTCGAGTCCGGGCCTGAGTAAGTTTCTAGGTTCGTGGATCCGAACCCTTTCGAGGCTTAGAGCGATTCAATCCGTTTGATGGCGATAAATCTGGGCCCATCGAATCTTGGACTTGCGATAAATTCGGGCCCACTAATCTTGGGCTACTGGGCCTAAATAATTTAGTGGGCTTAAATTAGCTCCTCTTACAGAAAGCAAGCTTGACTTTACCAAACGTGGTTGATTGCTGGGTACCTGACTGCAAAAATGCTTTTGGAAAATCCAGAGATGGCTTCTCTTTTATTCTGGGAGGAAGACTATGAACTTCTAGAGATTTGTGTTTGTGCTCTTAGCAAATCCGGCCGCAAAAATTGCTCTCACGTGTATACACAGTGTACAGAATATATGACGGAATAGGAATATTCAAGGAATAATTCCCCATTTTATTTCTATTTAAAGAAAGGCCCAAAACCCTAATCCTCACAAACTTTTGCTCAGCCGCCAAACCCATTTTCTCAGCCTATTCTCTCTCTCTAGATCGGGAGGCTAGCCTTCTTCTTCAACAAACCAGCGCTGCTTCTTGCTTTGAAGACCACTGTTATTTGCATACCGATTGCTATCACAGCTTCGAGCAACACCACCGATTTGTCCCAACGTCGCGACTGCTGCAGGCGTGCGCTCCAAGCTGCTTCTCACCACTAGTGTTTCACTTCAGTCTACCCACGCATCTGCCGGAGCCCAGTTTTGCTAACCACTGCCGACGTCGATTCCTCGGCGACGCCATTGCTACTGTAGGTCGAGACTGTCCAGCACCAATCACTATTGTCCTCTTCCTACTGTAATTTTGCTGCCGGCCTCGGCTGTCCAGTTATACCCACTCACGTCGCTGCTGGTAGCCTTGACTACCAAGCACCGACCACACACGCCGCCCTCTCAACGCGGCATGCGTGGTCTCGCCAAACACCATTCAACTCAACGTCTTCTTGGTCCGGCGATATCTTCTAGAGCTCGGATCTCGTAGCTCTTGGTTTTGTGTTATACCTGCTGGTTCTATCCGTAATTAATCAATGCGGAACGCGTCGCCGATTCAACGTGACGTCGGTTTGCCTACTTTCGATCTCAGCTGTTGCTCGTGCCACCATTCTTATTGACCACAGTCTGTAAAACCTCCCTGATTTCAGCTTATATTTTCACCATTCTTGAACCTCTTCCTCTTGTATATATATATATATATATATTTATTTTGTGGCAGCTTTTATGAAAAGTCTTATTTCAACATCTGTGATTCTAATGACACATTTTTTTTTTAAAACAGATCAGAGGCTAAATCTGTGTGTACATTGATTGCTATTGCAGAGCCAAACAACATAACTTCCTCAGAGACCCAGACTCTCTGGAGCTCGGTTTTTCTGAATAGTACTAACGCCAGCGTCTTCGTAACGCCACTGCTGCTTCTGGCTTTCGAGAGCCACTGACGGTGTCGTCTCCGCGACATCACCCGCGACGCCTACCTCGACTGCCCAACACCGCTCACTGTTGGCTTCACTCCGCTTCTACTCCACCATCGGCTTTAACCATTCCAACGCAGACCACACACGTTGCCCACTCAACGTGACGTGTGTGGTTGCCGACTCCTCTATGGCACCACTCTTGCTTCCGTCTTCGAATTATCCAGCGCTGACCACACGCGTGCGCCCACTCAACGCGACATGTGTGGTCTTGCCTAGCACCGCTCAACTCGGCGTTAGCCTTAGGAGTATCTTTCTCGCGTTTGTGGTCTCGCCACTACTTCCAGCCGTGCTCTTTTTCCATTGGCGTGAATCTGTGAGTAAGTTCTTTCAATTGTTTTATATATATATATATATATTTGTGTGGTGGCAGCTCTTGCAATAAATAAATGAATAAATTCACTTTCCTTCTTATTGATGGGTCTTTGTGCTCAAGAAATAGATATATAAACCCATGCACTGCTATATTAAATAAAATGAATCCATGCTTGAACTTCCATGTTCTGATACATTAAATAAAAATAATATCGGTGATTTGAAATTCCAATGTGAATCTTGAATTTGTTTGGGCTTTGCAATTTTTGAAATAAGTTGTGGGATTTATTTAAACGATTTTTCTAACTTAAAATTTGCTAAAGAAATTCTAGACTATTGCATAACTTGACCCATTGCTGCTGAATTTTGCCCTCGTAATAGAATATTTGCCACTTGAACTGAGCAAATAATATTGGCTTGGGAGGAACACTCTTGTAATTCACATGACAATCCATTGAATCTTGCTACTGATGAGAAATGTAAAATACTTCGGATCTTGGGCCTGAAATTTGCTATTGAACTTCACTCTGTCCAAATTTTGAGCCCCGTATAAATTGGACCTTTAATATGGAACATAGTGACTTTAAGAAATTGACCCGATTGAACTTCATCATGTAGCGACCTATGACATTGCACCTCTTATTGATGATAGAAGACGAAAATCTATATGTTGATGATGCACCCATTGGTATTAAAATTTGTTGAGCTTGAAGAATATCCGAGAAAATGAATTGTTGATGACGTCCGAAGTTAAATTTGTTGATAAACCCATCATGTTGCATGTAACAATATTCTGAATTTTAATACGGTCAACTCTTTAATATTTATACCGGTTATTTCAGCCATATGTCTTCTCAAAAGAAACCCGTAGCTCCGGGGTCATCAGAACCGGCTCTCATGAAAGAGAGGGATGTACCTCCGGCATCTGAGTGGAGGAAATCTCCTTATTTTGGTCGGAAGGACCCCTTCTGGCGGGCGGCTACCTCCACCACTTCTCTTCTATCTCCGAAGGCGGCTCCATTATGTCTCACTGAGGACACTGACTCTGGACATGAGGCCCTCATTTCTCCTTCCTCGGTGCTACGCTTTCGGATTGAGCGGGGGGACTTTCTATACTGTTATCCTCAGTTCAAGGCCTTCTC